CCCTCCCTCCTCCCTCCTCCCTCCTCCCTCCTCCCTCCTCCCTCCTCCCTCCTCCTCCTCCCTCCTCCTCCTCCTCCTCCTCCTCCTCCTCCTCCTCCTCCTCCTCCTCCTCCTCCTCCTTCTCCGCGCGTGCGTCTGTAAGTTCATGCCGCGCGCAAGGCACGCAGCCCCTGACACGACACACGGTGCAGGGACCGAGTGCGGACGGCACCTGGAGCGATGGACCGCCCGAATGCTCCTGGTGGCGAAGGCGGCCTCGCAAGGGTACACGGACCGCGCAGGGGAGGGGGCAAGAACACCAGCGGAGCAAGATGTTTGGCGAAGCACAGCCTCCTGAGGTCATCGTGAAACGCCTCACGCGTCTGACTATCACGAAAGGCAACTCTCGCAGCCCCCTCCGCCTGCACACAGAAGCGCTTCCAGAACTTGCGGCTACTGGAAAGTAAAAGCCAAGTTCACCAGGCACGAGGCCCAGTGGGGGCATCGGCAGCGCGCACGGTCGCATGGTTTCCGAACTACGAAAATCCTCGTCCTCCTCCTCCCTCATCCGCCTTCCTCCTCCTCGTCGCCTTGCTTTCGGGTCATAACACTCGGGTCTCCAGCGGCCGTTCGGGATGATTAGGGCATCCCTGGACCGCCCTTGGCGAGGCGCAGTTATTTTATCACGAAACACCTAGGGATAACAAATCGATAAGCCCTTGGCGAGGCGCAGTTGCCAGAGAGCGCCCCAGGAAACCCCCGAAGAGCCGAAGAAAGCGTCCGAAAACCTGACCCCGCACTACCTCCTGCCTCCTCCCTCCCTCCTGGTGGAACTGCAAGACACCGATACCGCTACTCCCTGGACCTCCCGAGGCGAATCCGGCCTTGGCAAGGAGGGCTCTGCAAGACGAGCAGCGTTCACGGAATCTTCTCGGATCCATCCCCTCCCACCCTCCCTCCTTAGCTTGAGCAGAACCGACCGCCCCGGCATGTCCCGTGGAACCAGATAATGTTCCAAGGGGAAAAACAAATTTCTTAGAACATGCATCCGATATGTTTGAACACGACGGCCTCAGCCAGAACAACAAAACAAAACGGAGGGCCGGCCTGCTGTCGCCCTGTAGGCCCCGCAGCAGCGCGCCCTCGACCTCCGCCGCCCGCAGGGCGGCGGGCGAGCAGCAGAGCGCGGACTTGACGGCCACCTGCGGAGCAAGGGCGGGGGCGGCGAGGGAGGAGGAGAGAGAGAGAGAGAGAGAGAGGAAGGGCGAGGGAGAGAGAGGGAGAGGGAGAGGGAGAGAGAGAGGGAGAGAGAACGAGAGGGAGAGAGAGAGAGAGACGAGGAGAAGGAGGAGGAGGAGGAGGACCAGTGTAAACCCAAGAGTCATCTACGATGTTGCAAAAGCCCCTCCCTCCAAGCTCCCTCTTCATAGGCCCCTAAACCGGTGCATTTCCACTGAGGGAACTGCCTCGTTGGTAGGCAACCGTTCGAAGACCCTGAAGCATGCCAAAACATTGTTCTCGGGATCCCAACGTCACGGATCAACCTGACCGTTGCGTCTTGACGATCCTGAATCGTGCCAGAACGCCATTCCTGGGACTGCAACACCGCGAACCAACCTAAATGTTGCACCTTCATAATCCTGGATTATCTTAAAACACAATATCTGGTGCGTTGATAATGGGAGCCAGTGAAACTCTTGCAATTTTTGACAGCGAATGCGCGCGGCGCTAAGGCGAGAGCCACATGTTGAAAAGAACCGCCCTCAATCCACGAAATTCTTGCAACTTTTGAAAAAGAATGTGCGCGGCACTCAGGCGACAACCACATTTTGAAAACGACCCGCCCTCAATGCGTGAAATGCCTGCAATTTGTTCAAACGAATGTGCGCGGCGCTAAGGCGAGAGCCTCATTTTGAAAACCACCCGCCCTCAATCCGTGAAGCTCTTGACATTTGTTCAAACGAATGCGCGCGGCGCTAAAGCGAACAACATCTTGAAAGCGGCCCGCCCTCCATCTGTGAAAACGTTGTCAATGTTTAAGTTTCAGGGTCATAAATTGTGGGGAAGTCTCAAGCGAACCGCCCGGCCCGCCCTAACAGCTGGTCTCGGGGTGCGACAGGGACAAATATAAAATGAAACGGAATGCAGGAGGAGGACAACAAAATCACGACGGGAGGTTTTTTTTTGTACCCATGTTTGGCATACAGGGGCCTTCGCTGGGCTTCGGGGCCGTCCACAAACGGCCCAGAGTAAAGACAGGTCACGTGGAAGGTGTCCCGACCTCATAGGGTCGACGGTGTGGAAAAGACACGACGTCGGAGGGGACGGAGCAAGGAGGATGGAGGAGGCAGGAGGACCCCAAATCGAATTGATATATCGGATCGGCAATCGAAACGAATCGGATAGGCGGACATCGGCGGCCTCGTCGGGAGAAGTCGAATCGGCGGAAATCGGCAGGCTAGTAGGCCTCCAATCAGAAATCGGCATCCGAAGCGGAATCCGAAGGCGAATCGAATCGAAATCGGAAGTCATCGAGATCGAATCGAATCGGGGTAAGCGAAACGAGCCCTGGGAATGGAGAGAGGGGCGGGGGGAGCCAATCCAGGTGCCCTCGGGCCACATCTGGCACCCTACAGGGGGAGAGTCAGGAAGGAGGAAAGAGGCGGCGACTGCCTGGGCGCCGCCTCTGAAGCACCCCGCGTCTGACGAGTCCGCACCCTCCCTCCTCCCCGTGTCTTCCCCCAAGCGGGGCCCCGAACCAGCATCGACCGGTGGGATGGAGCTTTGGAGCCCCTGTGCTCTAAGAGCCACTTTCGCGTGCCGTCGCTCGGACGTCCATTTCCCGTGCATTGTTCGGTGTCGTGCGTGTTTTTTTTGTGCTCGATGGTCCAGGATGGTCCTCGATGGTTCTCGCCGAGGAAAACGCTGCACGCGTCCGATCGATGCCAAGTCTCAGAAGCATGCCTGCTTTGGCAGCCCGTGCTGATGTGAGGCCAGATCCCCCCCCCTCTGCCCTGCGTCTGCCCCCATTCATGGCCCCTCCCGCCGCAGTCTCCCGTTTCCCTTTGAGGTCCATCCTCTCCCTTCCCCTCCGACGCATCTTCCCAGTCTCACGTCCTCTCCCCTGACATTCGGGCGTCGTGCGCCAAAACAAAAAAAACAGCTGGAACGACATGTGTTGCTTCGCCCTTGTTCGGGGTCCGAGCCCCTCACGAACCACTGCGGAGATCCCTGGAAGTCACCTGGCGCGTTTCACGGCGTTCCTCCGTTTTCTCCCTTCGCCGTGCGCCCGCCATCTCCCCTCCCCTCCCCCCTGCTGCTTGCATCCCTGCTTCCCTGCTCCTTCTCCTCCTGCTCCTCCACATCCTGCTCCTCCACCTCCTCCACCTCTTCTCGCCAATTCCTCCACCTCCTTCTCCTCGTCTCACCAACTCACTCGCTCGCCCCATGTTTGAATGAGCAACTCCCCCCTCGTCGCACCCCGGGGCGCGCTCGCAGCGCGTGCTCGCATGGCGGGCTGGGCGTTGCGCATCAGACTTCCCAATCAAGGAGGAGGAGGAGGAACAAGGCGAGGAGGAGGAGGAGGAGGAGGAGGACGACGAGGACGGTAGACAGATAGAGCGGCCTTGGGGGGCGGAGCAGTGCATTAGCAGTATGGATGGCCCCCCGCCGTCGCCGCTCAGAGCGGCACCTTCACTGTGGCCACGGCGCCACGCTGCACCCGCCAATGGCCGAACGAGGCGTAGTCGTACGGCCACTCCCAGCATACTTCACATCCCTGCGAGCCACGCCGCTAGTTTATCTTCCATGACTCCCGTTGGAGGTTTGCCTGCCTTCACTGTAGCTCCGACGACCTGTAGCAGGGCGCGGTGGATGCTGTCTTTGATGTTGGCCTGCTTCAGCTGGAGCTCGGACGGGTCCTCCTCTGCTTCCGCCTCTGTCCATGCACCCTGCTCGATGAATATGAAGAGCTTGGCTTGGTTGCTGTCGGAACGCTCGCTGAGCTTCAGGTGCTTGACTTTGTTGAGGACCGTCGCTGCGCCACTGGTGTCCACGAGCTTCCCGTGCTCCGTAAAGATGGCCCTGGTCTTGGCCCCCACGTCCTCGGCGCAGTGGGTCGAAATAAGTGTGATGCACATGCGACCTCGGGCGGTCCGAAATAATGACCTTTGCCCGCCACCCTGTTTGATGAAGACCGCGAGGAGCTTCTTGATCTTGGGGTCGCACTTTTTCTGGTAGGCCTCTCCACCTCTCTGGTGGCGCTGAAAGCGTTGTCCTGCTGTTGCTGCCGTGGCTGGTCCTGCGTCGCCCTTCTCCTGCGTGTCTCCCATGACCGCGTCCTCTCCCTCCGCGGCGCCCTCGCCCTCACGCCCTCTCTTCTTGTTGCCCTTGCCGCCTATGGGGTGCGCCGCCTTCTGGTGCTGGTCGAGCGCACGGTGTCCGCCATGCTGCTGGCCGCGTCGTAGATCTCCTCCTCGCTGGGCACGCACCGAGTCATCTGTGTAGAAGCCGATGTCTAGCATGTGGACGATGCGGAGGCCTGAATTCTTGGGCTTGCCGTTGTGCGTGTCGGGGGTGAAGCTCTGGCTGTGGTGGGCGCCCAGCGGTGCGAAGCCGGCGCGGTAGACGTGGTTGAGGACGGAGTCGAAGCACTCTTCGATAAAGGGAGCCTCCGCGAGCGCGTCGTCGCTGCCAGCGCCTGACGTTTGGGGCTTGGGTTTGGTGATGGTGGGGGGGTGAAAGAACTTCTGGTAGATCTCGGCAGGCAGGGGCCAGTCGGGCACGGCTGCCCTCTTCTTGCAGTACTTGAGCCTCTTCTTCAAATCGAAGAAGGTCCTGCGGAGGTGGTCCCTGGCTTCTTCGTAATCGGCTCTGATCTGCAGGTTGTGCTCCGTGGTGAGTTCCAGCGTGCTGTGCTAGAGAGCCTGCTTCTCTTCGTGGGGGTCGATCGGGTGCGCTGCAAATCCGCCGTGCTGGCCCTCTTGCGCCGCGTGGATCGACCATTCCTCCAGGCTGGGGCGCGCCCGCATGGCCCTGCCGTAGTTGCGATTGCGCTTGCCGTAGCTGGTGCCCGCCAACAGTCGCGTGAGTCGGTGTAGTACAGCGTGTTCACGTTTGCGCCAGGCCTCATAGATGAGGGACACGAGCTGTCGTCGTCTTTCTGCATCATGTAGTTTCTTCTGCCTCTTGATCGCTCTGGTGGCAACCTCTAACTTGCACCTGATGCAGCTGTCATCTGCTTCCCCGCCGATGTACTGTTGTCGCAGTTCCGCACGCTCGCGCAGGAAATAGAGCTTTTCTTGCATCAACTGCTGGTGGGTGCCTGGCTTCTTTCTCTTGCGCTCGAAGTACGGCTTGGCGATGTCCTTGACGATCGGCGCCAGGAACTCCCAGTGGTCGTCTGTGGTGTTCGCCGCCGCCAGATCCTGCAGCGCATCTTTGTTCGCCATTAAGTTGGCCCCGGGGGCCTCGATGAACTCGCAGCGGCGCATCCCTGTCTGCAGCGATTGCGCCATCTTGTCGTAGTCCCATGCTGTGCGCTGCTTGTCTGTGAAGATGTTGGTCTTGGAAATGTCCGCTGCCGTGACCAGTGGCTCATGGTCTCGCGGCACGCTGTCATTGATCATCTGGAAAGCTTTGGCTGCACGACACCACACCTTGCATGACAGGATGTGTGCTCGTAGTCCCTGTGTGGCTGCTATGTAGTCGGGCCGCGTAGCTTGGCCTCGTTCTCTGAAGTAGGTCGGCCCCGCATGCCAAAATGTGTTGAGGATGCACAGCCCGTGAGCGTCGAGCATGTTGTGGAATGCTGCTGCTGCTTCTCCTGGTACTCAGGCAGGACCAGCATCTCCGATGACGTTGCTGGGCGTGGCTGAGATGAGGCTGTCGAGCCCGTAGCGGTCGGTGAGGTCCAGGCCGATGATTGAGGTACTGCGTGCCGGTGTAGCGCTGAGCGTCTTGTTGATCCACTGGAGCGTCTCATTGACCGTCTTGACCCACGGTGTGTACTGGACATCCATCCCCGACCGCGGCGGCAGGTACGCGACGATGAAGGCGAGGTCGAGTTCGCCCCGACATAGTCGTAGCGCTCCTGCACGGCCTTGGATGCCCGCGGGGGGGCTCGGGAGCTCTGTGATGCACCTGGCGCGGAAGCGGTAGCTGACCATGATGGCGACCCCCGCATGACTGTTGGTGAGCGGCCCTCGACCATAGCCCCTGGTGCGGTGCTTGTAGGTCTGGAGCTGATCTACGGAGCAGCTGGTGTCGTGCTGTCGCCACCTCGTGGCTGATAGTATGACGATGTCGACTGAACTGAATTGCCGAGAAATCTCCATACTTTTTAATCGCGCTACCATCGAGAGAGGATTGTACACCGCCCATCTCACTAATGGCATCCAGAAGGGTATGAAAGGAACGAGAATGGCCAGCCGCGCTGGCATGTCATGAAGGTGCCCCGAGGGCGGAAGCTGCTCTGCGTGGGTTGCCAGCTGGGCCGCGAAGGGGGAGGCTGGAGCAGGACACGGCGGCTGAAGACGAGGACGAGGACGAGGAGGAGGAGGAGGAGAAGGAGGACGAGGAGGAGGACGAGGAGAACGAGACTGTTTTTTTCTCCAAGTTCCAGGGTCACAAGTGACCCTGGAACCTGGAAAAAACAACATCGCAGAAGGAGGGAGGTCCTTGTTCCAAAATCGGGCTTCGCCGTAGCGCCGCGCGCATTCGTCTCAAGAGTTCCCGACAACTGCGCGGATGGATGGCGAGTCCGGTTCGAAATGTGGATCTCGCCTGAGCGCCGCGCACATTCGTTCTGCAAGGTTTGGAACAGTTTCGGCGCCTCCTTTTCAACATGTGGCTCTCGCCTGGGCGCAGCGCACATGAACTCTAAACATTTACAGAAGTCTGACGAATGGAAACGGTTCATTTTCTAACTGTGGCTCTCGCCTTCGCGCCGCGCACATTCGTTCTAAGAGTTTGAAGCAGTTTCACGGATGGAAGGCGGTTCAATTTCCAACTGTGGTTCGCGCCTTCGTGCCGCGTGCGTTCACTTCAAAAGTTTGCAGCAAAATATCTTCGCAGATGGAGGATGGCTCCTTTTCAAAATGTGGCTCTCGCCGTAGCGCCGCGCAGATTCGTCGTAAACATGTGCAATGCATATTAAGGATTCTTATGGTTTGCGTACCACACCTGGCGTTCGGACGCGATGTAAGGGTCAGGGCGCAGCAACCACGTTTATTCGCGGCGTTGAAATCACAGGAATGGCGTTTTGGAGGGATTCAGGGTCGCCACGGCGCAGCGGCAAGGTTGATTCACTGCGTTGAAATTCCAGAAGTTCCAGGAATGGTTTTGTAACGCGATTCAAGATTTTCAAATGGTCTTCTTTCATCGGGGCACTCCCCTCAGTGGAAGAAATTATTGTAGGGACCTATGAAGAAGGAGCTGGAGGGGAGGATTAACTGCAACATCGAGGATGGGTCTTGGGTTTGCATTGGTCCTCCTCCTCCTCCTCCTGCTCCTCCTCCTCCTGCTCCTCCTCCTCCCTTGCTTTCCCTTAGAATCACTCCTGCCTGTCGCACCCTGCCGCCAATCGGAAGAGCGGGCCGAGCGTTACGCTGGAGATTTCCCCACCACTGATGATCCTGAAACTTTGAAAATGGAAACAAGTTCACAGATAAACGGCGGGTCGTTTCCAAAATGTGGCTCCCGCTGGGGCGCCGCGCACACTCGTCTTGAACACTTCCTAGAGCTTTGCGGATTGAGGGTGGGCCGTTTTCAGAATGTGGCTCTCGCCATCGCGCCGCGCACATTCGTGTTAACAAGTTGCAGAAGAGTTGCACGAATTGAAGGCGGCTCCTTTTCAAAATGTGGCTCTCGCTTTAGCGCTGCGGACATTCGTCTGAAACATTTGCAAGGGTTCCACAAACATCCATGGCTAACGTATCAGGTACAACGTCTTGGAACGATTCAGGATTGCCAGCGCGCAGCAGTTACGTTGATTCGCTGTGTTGAAGTCCCAGGAGTGTTGTTCTGGCACGTTGCGTAGTCCCAAGAATGGTGTTTTGTCAATGCGCAACCCTCACGTTGATTCGTGGCTCTGTAGTCCCAAGGATGGTGTTTCAGTAAGCGTCAAGATATTCACGCGTCTGTCTCCCAACGTAGAACTCCTTTCAGTGGAGTAAATCCTTGCTTGTAGGGACCTGTGGAGAGGGAACTCGGATGCGTCTTGTGTTTGCACTGGTCTTCCGCCTCCTCCTCCTCCTCCTCCTCCTCCTCTTCCTCCTCCTTCTCCATTGCTTTCCCTTAAAATCACTCCTGTCTGTCGCACCCTGCAGCCAGTCGGAAGGGGCTGCCGAGCTTTTCGCTTGAGAATCCCCCACCGCTTATGACCCTGAAGCTTAGAAGTGGAAGCAACTTCACATATAGACGGCGGGTCGTTGCCAGAATGTGACTCCCGCCGGAGCGCCGCGCACTGTCGTTTTGAAACATTGCAGCAACTTCGCGCATTGAGGGCGGGCCGCTTTCAGAATGTGGCTCTCGCCTTCGCGCCGCGCACAATCGTGTTAACCAAATTGGGAAGAGCTCCCCGACCTGAAGGCGGCTCCTTTTCAACATGCGGCTCGTGCTTTAGCGCTGCGCACACTCGTCTTAAACCTTTGCAAGAGTTTCACACACGACCGCGGCTAACGTACTAGAACTGGCATTTCGGAGCGAATCATGATTGCCAGCGCGCAGCAGTTACTTTGACTCGCGGTGTCGTAGTCCCAGGATGCGTGTTCTGGCACGATTCAGGATCGTCCGTGCGCAACGCTCGCGTTAATTCGTGGCTCTGTAGTCCCGAGAATGGTGGTTTGGCGGGCATCAGGATATTCACGCGCTTGTCTGCCAGCGTGGCACTTCCCTCAGTGGAAGCGAACCCTTCTAATGGCCTGTGAAGAGGGACCTTGGAGGGAGGGTTGTCTCAAACATCGTTGATGAGTCTTGTGCTTGCACTGGTCCTCCGCCTCCTCCTCCTCCGCCTCCTCCTCCTCCTCCTCCCTTCCTCCTCCTCCTCCTCATCCATCCCTTCTTTCTGCCAGCGCGCAGCCGCACGGCGGCGGCCGCCTTGCCCTTGCCCTCGCAGCACTCACCGCACCTGGACTGGGCGGGGCTTCGCCACGCGAGCGGGTGAGATAACCAGCCCCGAGCTTATCGTGATCCCAACGACTGGCAAGCCAGAAGGCAATGATAATCTTAGGGATGCGACCTCAGAAACTGAGGAGGGCTCCCTCTAAGATCGGCATCGAGATGAGGCGATGCCGAGCACAGGGATGGGGATGCGTACCCGGCTTGTAATGAAAAGGGGAGCAGGAAAAATCGGCACCAGCCGCACCATCGCAAGGAGCTTGTTTTAGTCTTTGGTCGGGCATGTCCTCTTGCAGGCAGATATTGGAAAACAAACACTGGTCCAGCGTGTGAGTTTACAAAAGCTACAGCATAAACTTCAGATCTGCTGGGGGGGGTTGCCGGGGTGGCTTTGCCGGGGAATGGGGGGGGAGTGTGTACACTTTCCGGGGGGGGGGCTCCTCCGGGCTCAGGAGTCCCAGCACGGGCCAAGAGGACCCCGATAGGCTCCCAAGAAGGCCCCAAATGGCTTCGAGTCGTCAAACGATCGGTCCAAGACGCAAGAGCTGGCCTCCATACCGCCCAAGGAGCTTCCAAGACGCTCGAAGAAGCTTCCAAGAGGGCTCCCACGAGGGCCCTAAGAGGCAACAGTTGCCACATTCCCTTTGGAAAACGCACATGTTCAGCATATTCGCCTCTTGGGCTTTCACAGCGTCGAAGACAGCCCACGAGGCCCTCATGATCGCTCCAAGACGGACCAAGAGGCCCCAAAGAGAGCTCGAAGACGGCCCAAGAAGGCCCCAAAACGCCCAAGAAGCCCCAAAGATGGCCCAAGAGGGCCTCAGGACGGGCCCACGAGGGGGCCCAGAGGGGGTCATTTCAAGCCTTCGACCCCAAGACGCCCCCAGGAAGCTTCAAGAAGCCTCCAAGAAGTCCCCAGAAGGCCCCAAGAGGCCCCCAAGAAGCCCTCAAAAGGCCCCCAGTAGACAGTAGGTCCTGGTCCTCCTTGACCTCGTCCTCCTTCTTCACCAAACCCTGCTTGCACGCCGAATGAGGCTCATCACCATCAGTACGACGCCCATCCCCGTGGGCATGACGATCCTCATCTGTTCTTCCTCCTCTTCAGACTCTCCCTCCTCCTCCTCCTCGTCCTCCTCCTCCTTCTCCTCCTCCTCTCCCAGCTCCTCCTCCCCCTCTTCCACCTCCTGCTCCTCCCCCCCGTCTCTATGGCTATGTCCTTACTCATTCTCTTCTCTTCTTCCCCTTCCTCCTGTGATTTCCCCCCTCGTCATGCTCCTCCTCATGTTCCTCTTCCTCCTCCTCCTCGTCGTCCTCCTCCTCCTCCACATCCCCTGCCTCGTCCTCCTCCTGCCGCGCCTCCTCCTCCTCCTCCTCATCATCATCATCCTCCTCCTCGTCCCTCTCTTCCCTCCTCCTCCTCCTCCTCCTCCTCCTCCTCCTGCTCCCCTCATCATCATCATCATCATCATCATCATCATCATCATCATCATCATCATCATCATCATCATCATCATCATCATCATCATCATCATCATCATCATCATCATCATCATCATCATCATCATCATCATCATCATCATCATCATCAGCATCATCATCATCTTCACAACCATCATCATAATCAGCATCATCATTATCAGCAGCAGCAGCAGCAGCAGCAGCATCAGCAGCATCATCATCAGCGTCAGCATCAGCAGCATCGTCATCAGCATCATCATCAATCTCATCATCATCAACATCGACATCAATATCAACATCAGCTTCATCATCCGTTCCTCCTCGTCCTCCTCCTCCTCGTCTTCCTCCTCCTTCTCCCCCCGCCTCCTCCCCGTCCTCGTCCCCCTCCACCTCGGAAGTCAGACGTGGGCAGGATGATCCTCGTGTTCCCAACCGTCCTGTGGTGTTGGGTCCTCTTTTTGACACGACGCACTCCGCGTTCCTCTCCTCTCCTCCTTCGCCCACTTCTCCCTCCTCCCCCTCCTTGCCTCTGCCCTCCGCATGCATCTGCTTCGGCACACCACTCACACGTTTCGTGGCTCCATGGAGAGCTCTACCGAAGGCCCCAATGGGACCACCCGCATGCGTCCGCCACACCCACTGCAGCGTTTCGTTGCCCCATAGTGAGCTCCACCGAAGGTCCCAGTGGGACCGCCCGCATGCGTCCGCCACACCCAGTACAGCGTATCGTGGTCCCATGGGGGGGGCCTTCCGAAGTCCACAGTAGGACCGCCCGCAGGCGTCCGCCACACCCACTGCAGCGTTTCGTGGCCCCACAGGGAGCTCCACCGAGGGTCCCAGTGGGACCGCCCGCATGCGTACGCCACACACAGTACACCGCTTCGTGGTCACATAGGGCCACAAGGAGCCTCACCGAAGGTCCCAGTGGCACCGCCCGCAGGCGTCTGCCACACCCAGTACAGCGCTACAGCGCTTCGTGGCCCCATGGGGAGCTTCACCGAAGGTCCCAGTGGGACCGCCCGCATGCGCCCGCTATACCCAGTACAGAGCTTCGTGGCCCAATAGACAGTTCCACCGAAGGTCCCAGTGGGACCGCCCGCATGCGACCGCCACTCCCAGTACAGAGCTTCGTGGCCCCGTGGGGAGCCCCACCCAAGGTCCCAATGGCACCGCCCGAATGCGTCCGCCACATCCAGTACAGCGTTTCGTGGCCTCATGGAGAGCTCCACCGAAGGTCCCAGTGGGACCCCCGCATGCGTCCACGCACTCAGTGCAGCGCTTCCTGGCTCCATAAGGAGCTCCAGCGAAGTCTCCAGTGGCACCGCCCAGATGCGTCCCTTCACACCCAGTACAAAGCTTCTTGGCCCCATGGGGAGCTCCACCGAAGGTCCCAGTGGGACCGTCCGCATGCGTGCGCCACACACAGTACATAGTTTCGTGGCCCCCTAAGGGGGCTCCACCGAAGGTCCCAGTGGCACCGCCCGCATGCGCCCGCCACACACAGTACACCGTTTCGTGGTCCCGTGGGGAGCTCCACCGAAAGTCCCAGTGGGACAGCCCGCACGCGTCCGCCACACCTAGTACAGCGCTTCGCGGCCCCACAGGGAGCTCCACCTAAGGTCCCAGTGGGACCGCCCGCATGCGTCCCCCCACCCAGTACAGCGTTTCGTAGCCCCGTGTGGTGAGCTAAAACGAAAGTCCCAGTGGGACCGCCCGCATGCGCCCCCCCACCCTGTACTGCGCGTCGTGGCCTCATAGGATGCTCCAGCGAAGGCCCCACTGGCACCGCCCGCATGCGCCTCCATCACCCACTACAGCGCCTCGTGGCGCCACAAGGGGCTCTACCGAACGCCCCAATGGGACCGCCCGCATGTGCCCTCCCACCCATTACGGCACGCCCATCACGCGCTGCGCGGCCCACCGAGAGCGGCACCCACAACGCGTCACCCACAACTGCATATGGTTGGGTTCTTCGCCGAGAGATTGTTGTTCCTCCTCAGACTCTCTCTCTCTCTCTCTCTCCTCCTCTTTCTCCTCCTCCTTCTCCTCTTCCTCCTCCTCCTCCTCCACCTGTTTCCCATGCTGGTATTGTCTTGCTCTGGCTGCCCAGAAGTGTCGCATCCAATCCTCCGCTTCTTCCTCCCCCTCCTCCTCCTCCTCCTGCTCCTCCTCCTCCTCCTATTCCTCCTCCTCCTCCTCCTCCTCCTCCTCCTCCACCCCATCCTCCTCCTCCTCCTCCGCCTCCTCCTCCTCTTCCTCCTCCTTCTCCTCCTCTTTTCCATGCTGGCATTGTTCTGCTTTGGCTGCCCAGGAGTGTCACATGCAATCCTCCGCCTCTTCCTCCCCCTCCTCCTCCTCCTCATCCTCCTCGTCCTCCTCCTCCTCCTCCTCCTCATCCTCCTCCGCATCCAATCCACTCAAAATTGGTCCGCGGACCCCTCCCGGGTCCACCGATTGCTGATTTTCATTCCCGGATCGATGCTTGACGGTCCCCATGAGCCCATGATGCCCTAAAGAAGCCCCCAGAAGCATCCAGTATGCCTTCAAGGATGGAGGAGGAGAAGAGAAAGGAGGAGGACGAGGAGGAGCGTCGTCGTCCATTCTGGCGCGAATCTGGAGCGCACCGCATCGGCGGCACTGGCCGGAGGCCACTGCAATAGTCAGTGAATACCCACAAGCGATCAAAATTAGCAGAAAAATCGTCACCTGAGTAGTTTTTGCCACTAAATTTTGAGTACTCCTCCCGCAGAGGGACTTGCCCGATTCAAGACTTACTTTGGTCAGCGGCCCCAGGAAGAGCATGTGGAGTCCCGAAACGGTGCGGTGACGGACCGTGCGGTGACCTCGAAATCCCCCAAGACCTCACCGCACGGTCCGTCACCGTACGGTCTTGGGACCTCGGAGGCCCCAGTCGCCCGAGACGTCATCGGAAAACGACCCGAGTCCCAAAACCGTGCGGTGACCCCGAATCCCCACCAACTCACGCAGCTGATTCTCCCTGCGCCTCCCAGCGACGGAAGCGGCTTTGTATCGAGGAATGGGCCCCTCGGTGAGGCCGAAGCCAGCTGCATGCAGCAAATTTCGTAGCCCCCCCTTTCCCAATCCCCTCCTTTCGTCCGGCCCGAGAAGAGCAGGCGGCGGCCGAGCAGGCGGCGGGGCGCGCCGGAGCACGGAGAGGCACAGGGCGAGAGAAAGGGAGCCCCACCCAGGCCTCAGGCCAGGGCGAGTCTCTCGGTGCGCGACCATGGGGGGGGGTGACGAAAGGGGGGGATAGCAAAGGGCAGGGTAGAAAAGCAGCTCACGTATCTGATTTTCCCGGCGCCTCCCGGCGCCGGGAGGCGCCCACGAAACGAAAGGGGGGGATAGCAAAGGGCAGGGTAGATTTAAGTCGGGCCTGTCCCCCTACAGGGGGGTTTTCGGCGAGCAATAAAAAATGCTCGAATCTACTCCAGCATGGTCAAACAAATACTAGAAAAAATAGTCATCATTTGTTTTAACTATTTTTGTAAATTCCCCCTGTAGAGGGACAGGCCCGACTTAAGGGTAGAGAAGCAGCTCACGTAGCTGATTCTCCCGGCGCCTCCCGGCGCCGGGAGGCGCCCACGTATCGAGGAATGGGCCCGGCGGCGGGGCCGAATCCAGCAGAGCCGTGCTCGGCATGTGATCAGACATCTTCCCTTCTCTCCCCGAGCTTCGTGACACACTCGCTGGCCAGGCGCACCACACTGTGCCGAAACTGCCGCGCCCCAGTATGCCGGTGATGAGGAACTGCCTGGGCCCAATGTCGACGACGGAACCCACCTGGGGAGGCTCGGCGCAGCGGCTGGATGTGGCTTCGTTCGTCCCAAATATGCCCTGAGAATGATTATCAGCACCGACGGGCCCCGAAACGCTAAACAAACTGCCTTAAACAACGCCAGACAAACGCTGCGTTGTGTTCGCACTTTTAGCCTGTGTATATCCGCGAAACGCCTAACGGTCCTTTATGTTATTGTCCAACACAAAAAAAAACATGGCGTTTTTAGAGTGAACGCACCATTTGGCACGCCCGAAATGGGGTACTGGAAACATGGGTACGGTACCCAACAGCACATGTTGTCCAAAACTAGGAGCACCCGCTCCTGGGCGGACGACTGCTTGTCTCAAGTGGGCCACGTCCGCGAAGACACTGACAGCAAGTCCTGTTAGAAGTGAACAGGACCTGCTGTCAATCTTCGTCCCCGTGCTCTCCGCATCTAAATTTCCATCGTGCCGATGCATGCCATGTTCGCATGGCTCTGGCTGCGGCCAATTACGTCTGCGACCAGACTGCTGAGGCTTCGGGCTGCGCACAGGCAATCCCCCCAGGTAGTCCCAGCTGTCCTCAACAGGCCCCCCCGAGTAGCATGGCGGTCTCAACACGTCAACACGGGGGACACGGAGCGCCCCAGTGGCGCCGCCGAAGGCGGCGCCAAGATAGTGAGACCGCCCCAGAATAGAGTCGCACCCAACCCCCCATGAGCGGGTAAGAGGGCGAACGTTGGACTTGTTCAACCCTTAGCGTGGAGTCCCATCGGATCCCGTGCGTCAATCAAATGGGGAACGCACAGCATCACCAAAAAGAGCGTCCTTCTGAATTTCAACGAGACTCGGGCGCCAACGCACGACTCTGTTCCAAGAGTAGGAAGAATCGGTGGAGGCAGGTGATGAGCAGGCGGAGGGGAAGGTGGAGAAGCATGTCAAACTATGCTGTCCAAGGGGGTTCCATATCCAAGTGTCCATTGCCCTCCCGTCGCTCCCGACGGACCTCACACAGAAGCGGGATCCGAATGCCCCAACGCAGGGGCGGAGGACCAGAAATGTACGGTAGATGCGGAGGCGGATGCGGACGGGGTGCGAATACATCTAGGAGCATGGCCTTAACAGTGTACCTGGATGGACGGACCTGGCGATTCACATTCAAATCTGTTTGCCAGCGTGGACCCCAAAAGAGTGAGTACATGCGCTTAGAATGTACAAATTGCGTGATGAAGAACAGTTGTGCAAGCTATGTGATGAAAGCACTGTGGTGCACACTATGTGATGGAACAACCTGGTGCAAGCTACGTGGAAGAAACATGTTGGTGCAATATGTGTGGCGCAGGCTGTGCAAGCTGCGTGGTGCAAACAATATTGGTCCAATATAGGTGGTGCAAGCTATGGGGTGGAAACTACGTGATGGAAGCATTGTGGGGAGTATGGAAACCCTGAGCCCCAAAAAGTGTTCACCTCTTGGAGGCGTGCGTGTTTACTTCCGCCGCCTTCCGCCGGCGGGGGCGGCATCGTTTTACTTCCGCCGACCTTCTGCCGCCCTTCCGCGGTGGAAGAGATGACAACTTCTTCGACCCTCGAAGGCCTTTTTTGGGGGGAACGCCTCATGTAAGCCGAAACAAGTGGCCTTTTGTCTTTCCCAGGTAACGGTCATCACCTGGGGGAGGGGGGGGGCTCGGGCGGGAGGGGAGTGGTAACGGCGGCCGCGGCGTGCACCCGCCAGGGTGCGTCCGCGCCACCGGCGCATCAACCGCCTGTGCGCACCACAGCATATAGCGGAGGGGATCCATCCCCCCTCCCCAGTACGATCGCTAGCGCTCCCCAGGGGGGGGGGCCTGGGTAAGAGCGTTACCCTGGGGAGGAACAAAAAACAAAAACTCACCAGTAGGGGCGGCAGGAGCAGTCGCACCAGTCTTAACTCGGGCCTGTCCCTGTACAGAGGGGGAATACTCAAACATAGAAATAATCCGGGGACGATGTGGGGCATTTTCGCACCTTTTCTGAATATCTTTTGACTCGTCTTACTTGTCGTCCAAACTCCCCCTGCAAGGGGACACGCCCCCTGCGGGCGCACTGAGAGCTGCTGCACGTGCCGCCGGCTGTGGCGGCCCCGCCGCGGGGCGTGGGGTCCCTTCCGGCGCCGAGTGGCGCGGGGAGGCCCAGCTGCAGCTGACTCGGGGCCCCCCCATGTGTCATCCCCTCCCCTCCCCCCTCCTCCCTCTCCCCCCCTCCCTCCTCCCCCCTCCCTCCTCCCCCCTCCCTGCGTGGAGGCCCGACCACAAGAGACCTTCCAGAAGAAACCCAACCCTGAGACCCCAGGACGTCCATGAATTTTTGGCATGGGACTTTTCCTGTCCTTTCACCCTCTGCTAAGCGCGCCGTTTGGGTCTGCTACACTACACACTTCCCTTCTGCCCCGCCGCCCAGCCTCACGCCTCCCCGCCTGGCGGCAGCTCCTTGGCCACCGTCTTCTGCTTGTGGAGATCGCCCCCACAGAACGACCGGACAGCATTTCAGATCATCTCAGATTGAATGTCTGGTTTCAGCAGGTGTTGAATTATAACAGCTCCAACCACGGAGTTGTTATAATTCAACGCCTGTCCAGCCGAATCCTTAGAACGCAATGCAGGTAAGAACCCCATTCTGTGGAGGCCCGACCACAAGAAACCTGACACAAGGAACCCAACCCTGAGACCCCAGGACGTCCATGGGTTAGGTATGGGAACGTCACGCCTTCCACAGCAAAGCCATCGAAACCCAAGAAACCCGGGGCACCCTGGAGGCAAGCAGGGTGTTTCTTGGCATGGGCCTCCACTGCAAGTATGGCGGATTTCGGAAGCCCTGAACCCGAAAACGTTTTCCTCTGTTGGGGGCACGTCTTCACGTCCGCCGCCTTCCGCCGAGCTCCCGCCGGCGGAGGCGACCTCGTTCTACTTCCGCCGAGCATGCGCCGCCCTTCCGCCGCGGACGAGATGACGAGATGACAACTCCTTCGATCCTCGAAGCCGAGGCCCTTTTTGGAACGCCCCAAATATGCAAGCACTGTTGACTCGCCATCTCTCGGACGTGAAGTCCACGGGTATTGTTCGATCTCGTGTTATTTTTGTCGCCAGCTGATCCAAGATCCTCCTCGATGGTCCTGGCCGAGGAAAAACGCACACGTCCGAGCGATGCCAAGCTGGTGGACATGCAAAGGCCTTCCGGGCATCAGGCTGGCTCGTGTCATCAATAGCATGACCCGTCTCGGCGGACAGTCCGATCTCTTGCGGGCCCTCGCTCTGTGAGCATTTCTGGTCGACACCTCCAGCTCGCCAACTGCGGCTCCCTGACTCTTGAACTCCGTAGGGCTGATGCTGGGCGTGCTGGGCGTGCTGATGCTGGATACATTCGTCATGGCTGCGTGGAGCTTCGCGTCCTGAGGGAAAACCATGATCCGACTTCTTATTATTCTTCTTTTGATGCCAGGCGGCATACGTTTTTCTGACGTCTGCTGCCAGCGAGGTAAAAAAGATGCACACATGGCTGCTAGTTATGATCGCAACTGCAGGACGCAATTTGCAAGATCGAATTGTCGGCTCCCGATGCTCTTAAAACATCGGTACCGCTCCGGTGGCACTTGCTGCAATCTGGGCGGCGCATCGATTTCATGATCCTCGTCAACGACGCACCGTGCCCCAATCAATCAACACCCGGGTCATCTATCCTTGCATTCGAACGCCTGCAACGCATCCTCATCGCGCCACTGGACGAGCTTGTACCGAACGCTTCGCCAGAGAAATCCATCTCGCTTCTGATCCCGAGCCGTGACGCTTGCAGCAGTTACGCGGGAGAAGGCGGCCCGCTTTCAAACATGTGGTCTCGCCTGAGTACAGCGCACATGCGTCTTAGAAGTTCGCAACATTTTCACGGACGGAGTGTGAGTCATGCTCAAGGTAGGGCTCTCGCATGCCAATCTCATCTTCATGATGTGCGCTTCAGCAGCATGCGGCCCCAGCACGGATAGAGGCCGGATCCTTTCCAGAATGGGCATCTCGCTTCGGCCACTCTTTGATCCGACGACACCGATCGTGAATGTGACGTGGCCGTCGTCTTCGTCGTCGTCGTCGTCGTCTTCGTCGTCGACGTCGTCGACGTCGTCGTCGTCGACGTCGTCGTCGTCGTCGTCGTCGTCGCTTCGTCTCAGAGCTGGCGCCTCCTCCCGGGCGGCCCCGCTCCAACACGGGGCCTTCGCTGGACGGCCGCCCGAGCTGCGCCATGCCACCTCTCGGCGGCTTCTGTAGCCAGAGGGCTGCCGGTGTCTTGCCAGACGGGAGCTGGCCATCGCTCGGACGTCCACTCCCTGTGTCTTTTTCAGTTTCGTGCGTGGTTTTTTCGCCAAATGATCAAGGATGCTCCTCGATTGTCCTCGCCGAAGGAAAAGTGCACACGTCCGAGCGATGCCAAGGGAGACCTCGCCCGAAAGGAGGGCGCACGGCGCTTGTCTTGCAGAGGGCTGCTCCCCGTGAGTCAGGGATGCTCATGGGGACTGGCTTGTGAGGGCGGGGGCTTGGGACGGAAGGGCGTATCGTAGCACTGTTGATGCAGCGGGTCCTGGACACCAGGGCTCGCCCCAGGACCCGATCTCCATCCTGAGTCGGTGTTGCCGACGGTCCCGGGGCCTGGGAGGAGCCTGAGGAGCCCGAAGACGGGGAAACACCTCCAGAACCCCTCTCCCTCCAAGACCCGCATCTTCAAAGAAACCACAAGCTACCCATACCGCTATTCCGCGGACCTCTTTCGGGGTGCGTTATGACCAGAATTCCGAAGCGAACCTAGCGATGGCGACGAAGGCCTCCCAGGAGGCCCAGAGAGGCGAAAACGAGGCCGGCGGCAGCGGTATGGGGTATGGGTAACTTGCCCTCCCCTGACTCCAGGACCCGCCTCCCTCCAGGACCCGCATCTTCCACCACGAGACAGTCGAGGAGCTACAAGAGAAGGAACGCCACATAAGGAACGAGGGGGCTTTTCCTCCCCACGGCGGGCCCAGGCCACAAACAACTCCCGCGGCATGAATCGAAGGAACAACCCAGGCCCCCGAGCCCCTTCCGAACCCAAAGCGGTCCTTCTTTCAGCGTCTTGGCTGCCCCCCCCCTCCAAGTCGACCGCGCCCCGGCGCCGTCCTTGCGGCCGCCGTCCCCCGCGGGCTCCAGTGGACGCAGCTTGAGGTCCTCCTCCACGCCGGTGGACTGGCGGCCGCACGCGGGCCAGCGCGGGGGGGGGGGGAGTTATTGAAAGGCAGGGGGGGGGGGCAAGGAGGGGCGGGAGCAATGGAGGAGGACGAGGAGGAAGAAAGAGGAAGAAAGAAGAGAAGGAGGTGGGGGGAGGAAGATGAGGGGGAGGAAGCGTAGGTGGCGGAAGAGGAGGAGAAGGAGGAGGAGGAGGAGAAGGAGGAGGAGGACAAGGAGGACAAGGAGGGGGAGGAGGAAGAAGACGAAGAGGCGGTTGGGTCTCGCCTGCGCTTGAGGTGTGCGGGGCCGCGCGGGGTGCCCCTGACACGCTACGGTTGCAGTCGTTCGCCTCCCAGCTTGCCCAATGAGAGTTCGGTGGCAACTCATGGGAGCCTCCTATATTATCGTATCGGCTCTTGCGACTCGACGCTAGTCGACGCTAAATCGATGCTAATCGACGCTATATCGACGCTAGATCGGGCTGCTCCATCGACTCCCAGACGCTACTCGACGCTACATATGGAATTAAGAGGGTGCACCCGGCTCCCATGATTTGCTGCCAATGAAGAGGGGCCCCCTCCTCCTCCTCCTCCTCCTCCTCCTCCTCCTCCTCCTCCTCCTCCTCCTCCTCCTCCTCCTCCTCCTCCTCCCCCCACCTCCTCCTCTCCTCCTCCTCCTCCTCCTCCTCCTCCTCCTCCTCCTCCTCCTCCTCCTCCTCTTCCCCCTCCTCGTCCTCCTCCTCCCATGGATCAACTCCCCACAGCTGGCCCGCGCGGCGGCGCGGGCGAGGGGGCACTTGCGCGGCGCCCGCGACGTCGTGTTTTTTTTGTCGCGACGGCGGGTGCCGGGGAAGGGCGGAAGGAGGGGGGGCAGCTTGAGACAACGAGCAGCGCAGGGGTGCGCTGGGCAGAATCGGATGGCTCAGGAGTGGCGGTGTCGCCCACCCAGTGCTGGAAGTTACGTGTCGCTAAACGTTCTCTGCGAATGGGAGAGTCGCGCTACCAGGATCGGATCGTTGTAACAACACATGGATCTCGCATCCTGCGGCAGAAGTGTTGCTGTTTCGTGGCGCGCTGGAAACGCCCAAGCATTCTGTAGAGCCACACAATGCCCCACCATTGTCCCGCCATACTATCGGCGGTGGACAAACCTCCCTTCAATAAGCCTCCCCTTAGTGAAAACGGCCTGGGACCGAAACCGACGGACCTGGACCCGCAAAAATGACGGTCGCGACGCCCTCTCGCGAGCCGAAAACGGCCAATTCCTTAATCGACGTGTCAGGGTAGGAGGTCTGCACACCCCCGATACTAGAGATGTGGAAAAGATCTCTACGTTGGTTGGGGAGTGTCGACCTGGCAGATATTCCTGCGCGCGTCGCCACCACCCATTCTCGCTGGAAGTAGCCACCCTATGTCCATCCAAGTGCTCTTAGAATCTACGTGGTCGTGTTGCAAAACTGGCCTGTTTGAGCCCCTGTGACTCTTGGCTGCGACTCATTGCGTTGTCGACGGCTTCACGCGAACACATAATCATCCAGAGTGAAGAAAAACTGCGGCGTCAACAGGTGGTTTCATTTTTGCACTTGCGACGCGGCACTGGCCGTGCGAACATACAATCGCCACGACTTGAGCGCAAAAACGCCATTCGCCAGCGTGGACCATGTCTGCATCCTGTTGATGCCATAATGCAGATCCTCGTGCAGCAGGCGTCCCGCGCAAAACGCGCTGCTGTCCGCACACTGCTTGTGCCCTACAATGCACCCGCTTCTGTGGGGAAGTCCCGCGCGGCTTGCCGCATTGCACCCGGCATCCCAGAAGCCTCATGATGAGTTCATTGGGGCGACGGCCACAGATAGCCCGCCCTCCTCGCTGGCGGAACATCTCCCCCGTCAAGCTGCACCCGGCCCCGCGCCCCTCGCCTGGCGACCGGCCGTCCCGCCGCGCGCCCGAAGCTCGAGTCCACAGTGCACCAGCTTGGACAAACTCGGCGACCTGCCCTCACGTCGCCGTAGGTTGGTGTTGGAGTGACCGCTGCCGTCGCGAGAGGTACGTGGGAGGTGCGTGGCCGAAACTGAGCAACGGTGAGGTTGCCGCCGCTGCACTCCTGGGGGGCACGCAGGGAGGCAGGGGCCCCGCCTGCTTGCAGTCCGGGTTGGGCCGGTGGCCAGTGCCACGGGCCTGCGCGCTGCACCGAGGGGGGTCGAATGGATTGGTGGCCGACGCCCCCACGGGGGCGAGGAGCGGCAGAGGCGAGTCCACGCTGTCCTCGCTCAGCATAGCGTCGGATGTTCTCGGGCGCGCCAGTCCGACACCTTGCGGCTTCGGTCGTACGCAAGTGCTCGCCGTGCTAGACTAGCTTAGAGTTTTGGCCTCCGCTTGGTCGATACCGATCTGGGATTCGCCTCCTACACCACCTTCTCCTCTCATCCTCTGCTTCCTCTTCCTCCGCCTCCTCCTCCTCCTGCTCCTGCTCCTCCTCCTCCCCCCTTTCCGTCCCCCCCTCCTCGACCTCCGTCCACTACCCCCCCCTCCTCCCCCCTTTCCGTCCCCACCTCCTCCACTGGTGAAGCGTAGAGGTACAGATGTCGTTTCTCCCAGGACCTCTCCCGGGGCGCGTTCTGACCAGAATTCCGAGGCGAATCCAGCCGTGGCGACGAGGGCCTCCCAGGAGGCTCAGCAGGGTGAAAGCGAGAGAATTGCAGCGTTTGGTACGCTTTTCCTCCTCCGACGCCCTCCGTCTCTGCCTTCCCCACGCCTCCGCCACCCCCTCAGGAGAAGCCAAGTCCAGACGGGGTAAGCCCAGACGGAGACCGAGCACTCCGTATGGACTTACTCCGTATGAGCTCAACCTCATCCGACACCTGACGGGCCTAGCGCAACCAGTCCTCCTCGGTGCTTTTCTGAGGAGCACTGATCGGGGGGGACTTGCACAGGGGGGTAAACATCGACCTAGAATCGGCGATGCATCGCCGATAGATCGGTGATAGGCCTCCGATTGTGCATCCGAACGCTCCTTGGCAGGCTGGGGCTATCGGGCCCCTATCGGCGATCAATGGGCGATTGGGGGTCGATGCATCCCCCCCCTCGAATCCTTCCAGGACGGAAGACCATCCTTCAAGAACATGAGACCCTCCGCCGGCCAAACCACACAGAACATATACTGGTACCCTCCCCCGGATAAACAAGAACATCCAACAAACACGAAGAGCATTGGGGTACCCTCCCCGGAACGACCTCGATCTTCTACCTCGGTCCCACTTCGGCTACACGCAAGAGTGACCCTAGGCAAGAGTGACCTTTAGCGCGCGACTTAACAACAAGGGACGCAGGGTGACCAAACCTGGGCGCGCAAGCCACTGCCACCGCTTCGCGCTCGGCGATCGGGGGACCCCATTGGGCCCGCATCAAAAGCCACTCTGGCGAAAGGTCACTTTTACGTGTAGACGACTCCTGCGCGGCCTGACCGACCCCTAGCGAGCCATCCCCTTCCGTGACGTCATCCTCGCCTTGCGAGCTCACCTCCTGCCGCATACATGCGTCTTGGGGCGAGGCGAGGGGGGCGTCACGGAAGAGGATGGCTTGCCAGGGGTCGGTTCGGTCGCCCCTGCTCGACGCCTGCTCTCCGAGAGAGCTCCGCCTCCTCCGACACCCGGCGGGCCTGCCGCGACCAGTCCTCCTCGGCGGCCTTCTGGGCCGCCGGCGCTCCCGCGGCGTCCGCGCACCCCGGCGCGCGCGGCGGCGGGGCGAAGGCGGCGCCGCCTCTGCGAGGCCGGGGCGGCAGGCCGGGCGGCCATCCCCCCCACCTTCGAGGCCCCCATGCCGTGGGAGGGACAACTTTCCACTACAGTCGGGGCACTGACGAAGGAACCCTTTTCGTTGGGGAGGGACTCCGTGTTCCTTCGCTGTTTTACAGTTTGCCTTGGGCGTTCCTGAGGTTTTCGATGGGACATCGAAGCTGAACTAATGGGGAAAAAGGGGCATCGTTCCTCATTTAGGGTTCCCTAGGTCAGCGCCCCTACTGTAAACGTTTCGGAGCCACTTGGCATGACCTCACTGCATAAGGCGAAGCCGGGACGAAGAGAACATCGGGTGAGGATTGAGCGAAGATGTCTGAGGTCCGGCGGCTCTCTGGAGGATGTCTCGGGCGCCACGGCCTTCTCGATGCGATCCAGAACGCGCTGACAGCGTTCCGGAACGCACTGGAACGGTTTTACCCTCGTCCTAGCCCCGCCCGATGACCCTCCCTCCACTCACCGGCCTGAAGGTTGAGCAAGCGTTCCGTCAGAAGCGGGGCCAGAAAAATCTCGAACCCAACGTCTCGAACGCCACACTTGCCAACGTGAAGGCCGGGAGGTGGACGGGGGAGCTTGGTTCTTGCTAGTTCGGGCCCTGCTGTTGCACAGTTTTTCTTTCAACCGTGCCTATTCCTCCACTCCCCTCATTTCCCCCATGCGCCCCTCGCCGCCGTCGTCGTCGTCCTCTTACTCCTCCTCCTCCTCCGCCTCCTCCTCCTCCTGCTCCTCCTCCTCCTCCTCCTCGTCCTCCTCCCCCCCCTCCTCCTCCTCCTCCTCCTCCTCCTCTTCCTCCTCCTCCTCCTCTTCCTCCCCCTCCTCCTCCCTCCTCCTCCTCCTCCTCCTCCTCCTCCTCCTCCTCCTCCTCCCTCCTCTTCCTCTTCCTCCTCCTACTCCTTCCTCTTCCTCTTCCTCTTCCTCATCCTTCTTCTTCTCCTCCTCCTCCTCCTCCTCCTTCTCGTCGTCCTCCTCCTCCATGCTTTTCCATATAGATACCTCATCCGTGTCGCATCCCGAGGCCACTCGAAAGGGCGGGCCGTGCGTTTCGCCTGAGACATCCTCACCACAAAGGACGCTGATGCTTGAGAACACACAACTGCTTCACAGATGGAGGGCAGGCCGCTTCCAAAATGTGGCTCTCGCCTCAGCGCCGAGCACATTCGTTTTAAACATTTGCTCTCACGGCTTCAGGGCGGGACGTTTTCAAACTGTGGCTCTCCCCATAGCGCCGCCCACATGCGCTTTAAAACTGTGCACGAGCTTCACGGACTGAGGGCGGTTCGTTATTCAAATGTGGCTCTCGCGTGAGCGCCGCCCACATGCGTTTAAACATTCCAAGAGATCCACGGGTTGAGGGCGGATTGTTTTCAAAATATGGCTATCGCCTCAGCGCCGCGCACATTCGTTCTAAAAGTCGTTCTAAACATCTGCAAGAAGTTCGTTGGTTACCATTGACAAAGTGCCAGACGTGGTGTGCCCTGGAACGACTCAAGATTGTCAGGGCGCCGCAGTTACGTTGATTCGCGGCGTTGGCTTCCCAGGAAGGGCGTTCTGGCGCGACTCAGGATCGCCAAAACGTAACTGTCAAGTTAAATCGGGGCGTTGGGATTCTGAGAGTGGTATTCTGGCACTCTTCAACATGTTCACACGGTCGTCCCCAAATGGGGCAGTTCCCTCAGTGGAACTGACACCGCGTCTGGGTTCTATGAAAAGGGATATTGGGTTTACATTGGTCCTCCTCCTCTTCCTCCCTTGTACCCCTCCTCCCTCATCTTTTTCCTCCTCCTCCTCCTCCTCCTCCTCCTACTCCTCTCTCTTCCTCGCCCTCGTACTCGTCCTCGTCCTCGGCCTCCTCCTCCTCCTCCTCCACCTCCTCCTCCTCCTCCTCCCCCCCCTTCCACTCATCACTCGGGCCTCCGATGGGCGTCGGTTCCAGGCGTCGGCCGGGGGGGAGAGGCCGAACACCGCGGTGCATGACGTTTCGCACGGCCCTCGGCGGTGCCGAGCGGGTCCGGAAGAGGAGGAGGAGGAGGAGGAGGAGGAGGAGGAGGAGGTGGAGGACGAGGAGGGAGGGGGGATTGAGGAGGAGGAGGAGGAGGAGGAGGAGGAGGAGGAGGAGGGAGGAGGGCGTGCCCGAAGCTTGCGGCACGGCTGGGGGCGCGTCTCGGAGCAGAAGGGAGCGGCGAAGCGAAGCGGGTCCTGCGCGAGGTGGCACAGCGAGACCCGACGCCGCAGCTCACGCGGGCCAACACCGCCGCACGCTGGCGCAGGCGGCGAGGGCGCCCACGCGCGACCTTGCGCGGGCAGCTTGCGCGCCAGTGGCGGCGCAGACGGCCCTGTCTTCTTGCGCCGACGACGTGTCGGGGCCTGAGCTGCCCCGGCACGCAGCACGCAACACGTAGCGTATTGATACGGAGCTCCACACGCAGACCGACACACGTATTGTCTGACGCGATGCGCTCGCCAAGACGTGGGCCAACACGTTCAGCCACCACGCAACGTATCGACACGGACGCCTTGAGCACGGCGCGTGTTGCGTATCAAAACGGGCTTTCCTACTGCAGCCGAGGTCTGCGTGGTTCTGCCAGGGAAGGTGCGGGGGCCAGCGGTGCACGCTCTGCACTGCGGAGATGGAGCGTCAGAGCAATCAGAAGCAGCTGTTTGCGTCGGTGGCGAGGCGGTGGTCGTCTGCGCGAGCGGAAAGGGCCTAAACGGGTGTGCTTTTAGAGCAAAGTGTGCCACCTCAAAAGACACAGGGATTGTTCGGGGTGGGTGCGCGAGCTTTAGACTTAGCCACTCGGGCTTCCCTGTTAGGTCGACCGTGATGCGTACTAGTGGTCAGTGAATAACTGATGGCACTATCGCGACCATCGCCATTTGAAATATTTCAGGAATTTCAGGAACAGATTTGCAAAACCTAATGGGAAACCATAACATGAATACCGAGATCGCAAGATGCAAGCGCCTCCGGAACAAACACGTGACCGGCAGAGGCGAAAGATGACCTGGATGGAAGAGAACAATAATGCAAAGAAGCATGGCAGCCAGTATGCACTGTGAACGAGAGTACATGCTGCATGCGCAAAGAAAGATAACTAACACGTCCTGAACGATTTGCCTCCTCAAAGCCATTCGCCAAGCGCTGCTGTGAGCAGTCGTCGTACTGGCACCAATAGTCCTCCCGCCATATGCCGAGACAAGCACACGATCTATAACGTATAAAGCCAAAGTCATCGACAGGACAGTCCGAACAGTAGTTACCGCTTGTCAGTACACGAGCGATCTTCACAACCCTCTTATTAGCACCAATCATGAAAGAAACAACCAGCGTATCAACGGGTGTAATAAGTTCTGCAGCACGAAGAGACCAATCAAGGGGCGAAATGCAGACCATGCATATGTGATGTTCCGCTGCAGGGCACGATCACGTGCGCCGGAAAGGGAGATCACTGACTAGTGAAAGTGCTGCTGCTGCTCCTCCTGCTCATGCTCCCCTCCTCCTCTGGCTCCTGCACCCCCCCCCCCCTGCCCGCCGCCTCCTGATCATGTTCCTCTGCCCCCCCCCTCTTCCTCCTCCTCCTCCTCCTCCTCCTCCTCCTCCTCCCCTCCTCCTCCCTCCTCCTCCTCTTCCTCCTCCTGCTCCTCCTCCTCCTCCTCCAGCTCCAGCTCCTGCACCCCCCCCTCCGCCCGACATCTGACACCTAATGGCTGCACTGTCGTCCGACGACGCCTCCCTCTCCTCCGCCTCGTCCTCCTGCCCCGGCTCCTCCTCCTTCTCCTCCTCCTTCTCCTCCTCCTCCTCCTCCTTCCTCCTCCTCCTCCTACACCGTCCCCGCCTCACACGCTCCCATCCCACTTCCTGCCCCACGTCCTCCGTTTCCTCCTCCTCCTCCTCTCCTCCTCCTCGTCCTCCTCCTCATTCTCCTCCCCTCCTCCTCCTCCTCCTCCTCCTCCTTCCTCCTCCTTCTCCTCCTCCTTCCTCCTCCTCCTCATCCATCCTCTTCATTTCATCCTGAGGGTGCTGCTGCTGCTGCTGCTCACCTTCCCTCCAACACAGGGCCCTTCCTCGTCGCCGCTGTCGGAGAAGGACATGGCAGGCCACTGGGAGCGGGGCGGCGAGGGCGCCTTCTCCGCCGCCCGCCGCCCGCCCCACAACCTGC